AAGTAGCGATTAACTTGAGATTTTAAATAAAATTTAACATTTGGATCATCTGTATGTCTTAATTAAATAATTTTTTTAAGTGAGAAAAAACTTGTCCTTTTTTACATCAAAGTCATTAATCTTCATAGCATAGAATGCTTTCTAAAAAAAACACCAAAACATAAGATTTCATTAGTTGAGTTTTTTTAATTACTACTTAAAGACTGTGAATGGAGCTGAAAATCTAGATTGCTTAAAGAGAGGACATGCATCCTTCCACCATTTTAAGGTGTAGAAATTTGAAAAACGTCAGGAGAAAATTGCATATTTGTCTGTCAATTATGTCCTTAATTATTTGCAACTGAATTAAAAAAACAGCTTTTCACTAAGCCATGATCTTCTAAAGATTTAGACATATGTTTAATGTCTTAAAATATGCATTCTGTTGATCAAAAAGTAATGCCAGGCAAATGTGCACATACTTTTGTGGAATTTGACCTGTCAGTACAAAGGTGTTTTTTGCATTCTGGTATTTAATATCACATTTGTTTCAGCGTAAAGCTTTTCCTGTTCATTAAGTCTTACTAGCCAGTACTTGATGACTTTCTATACATTGTAATAAGTAGGGAGATTCCATTTTAAAATGTCATAATGTGTATATATCAAGCTAGTAGACCACAATCAGTTTTAAAACCAAGTGGAAATTCGATTTTCCTGTTATGTAGGGAGTTCTTTCATATGAAATATTTTCTTACTCTTTCAAAGTGTCGTCCTCAACATAGTAAGCATTTCATTTAAAAACCATAACAATAATAGAAGTTCAGTGATGACATTTAATTTTGATTATATAAGCAATAAATTTAACTTAATCTTTTTGAAATAAAAAATTAAGTATTCCAGTAATATTGAATTATTTTACTGTAGAATTATTTCATCCCTACAGTAAATGCAGCCCTATACACTGGAGTAAATTATTATGCAATTAAAAAGCATCACAGTACAAGAGTATAGAGAGATTTGTTAAGGTTACATATCTTTATTTTGGCTTTTTCTAACTTATTTTATTTTCTCAAGTACTGTTTTCATGATACAGAATTTGCATTAATTAATTGAACTTAATTTAGTTAATGTTAGTGATGATCAAGAAGTACATTCAGTATCCACTTAAAATATTTCATCCCTAAGATATTTACTCTTCATTTTTTATTTTATTGGGGTTTTATATTGCAACTGGTAAATATCTTTCTTTTAAACATTTGGCTTTTAAACCTTGTGTGTACAGAATTTCCTTTGGATTATCAGAGTGAATGAAAATAAAAGTTCAGCTTCATGTCTTAACTAAAAATGAAATTTTTATATGTCATGGCTTATTTCAAATATATGTTTATTATTTCAATGATGTATGTTACAAAGCTCATAACCTGTATTGTATTGCCATATTTATGCCAGAAGCAAGTTTTAAATGGGACTTGAAGCAAATATGTTTGCCTTTAATGTGATACTTGTGCAACTATTTTATAAAACTAGGGTTAGTAATGAGCAGGACATTAATAATCAGAATAATTGGTACCAGTAATAATCATCAGAACTGCATTCCAATTTCAGATTCCCATAGCCATCCTTTTTTCTTTCTCTTGCTATGACTCCAGCAAACTCCAATGGTTTTTGTAACACAGTTACAGAGAACACAGTTCCATGTTGATACTTCATTTCAGTTACCAAAACCCAACAGAATCAAATTATTTATTCCACATAAGCAAACTCTGAACTTCAGGTGTATCTGACAGGGTTAGAAAATAGTGTTTATGTGGCTAGGAAACGTTGCTTCAGTATCTCAAGGAGTGCTCCTCTGACTTCATGTTTGGAAAGAGTATGTTTCTGCTCACGGAACAGTGATGAGTTGAAAGAGCCTAAAAACCAAAAGTTTAACAAAATGTAGCCACTGGAAGTTGAAACTAGACAAATTCAGTGTAGAAGGAAATATAATGTACTTAACTGACAAAGTGAAGCACTGAAACAATTTACCAAAGGTACATTTTCTATCCCTAGCTATTGTAAAATCAAGGCTGGACAGTTTTTTTCCCCAAAGGAATACGGACTAGTTCAAACAGTTTTGGAAAAGGCTGATGTTTTCAGAAGCCCTGCTTAGATGGCCATAGCAATACTTTCTGGCCTTATAATGTACAACTATGAATTTCATAATAAAAAGATAATAATAATTACAAAACTTAAATCAAAAGTGAGTCCATTCACTGTGTTTCCATGAGGCTTTGCTTGTGTTTCTGGAAATCTTAATTTTAATTCTGCCTGGGCTTGTTTGTTCTCAACAGGTCTCATGTACACTATGTGAGGATTGAATGAAAGGAATCAAAGATTGTAGTAGGTTATTACTGATATTGCAGGCATTATTATTGCAAATATCAGCAGAAAGGCTTATTATCAAGGAATTGACTTACTAAGTCTTTCTCTTGAGTGCACTTATGTCTCTTATGTATATCTCAGGTAGCATATGATCCTATCAACAGCACACATATGCGCAGACCATAGAGTTCAAATATTTAAAGGGACATCATCAACTTGAGAATGCTTGAATGGAAAATCTTGTACTTGCTATTATTTAAAGTTAAAAGTATTGGAAAGGAAAGGCTATATATATATATATATATACCTCAATTTCTAGCTTCACTTTTTGCACACTGTAATATGTCAATAGTTTATTTAATTTTGTTGATGGTGAACACTCCTTCTAGTGCATCATGTAACGACAGCAAAGCTTAAGAGAAACAGCCAAAGCCCAGCAAGGGTAGAGAGAGACAGGATGAGACTCCTGTGCCTGGGTAAGGCCCAGGCCCATCAATGTAACAGGGTGAAAACAGATCTGTGCTCCTCTACCCGCATTTAGAACTGGAGAGGTCCAACCCAGAAGTTGACAATTGTCCCTTTAAGTAGTGCACATAGTAGTAGTGGTGTAGCTGTTAGTTGTTTCTTTATAATCGTTAAATTGAGTTTGTACACATGTTAATATTTCAAAGGTTTTAAAATCAAGAAGTAGCTTAACAGCAATTGATGAATAAACTCTTTACTGGTTTTATAATAACTTTTTTTAAAAAAAAATCTCAATTTCAGAGGAATTCAAAGTAAAACTTATCTAGCAGCCTTTCTTACTAAATGCGTGCTTGCTGAAATCTATAAAAGAAAATATGCAGCCACAACGTGTCACACACACTGTCCTTTCAAGGTGGAAAGCATTGTGTTTCACAGGGTGTATAATCACTTCAGAAGCTTTGGTGTGTATGAACTTCACTGCTCTACTTTAGCAGCAGTTCTCCATCAGTTTTAATGGTGCATGTAATTTTTGTGAGGACTCCAACACACTGTCTATTCTCTTGTCTGGTCCGACTGTTTCTACTCTTCACTTACACTCTACCATATGATAAAACTGTTATTACATGCTGTCCCAAGGTGACTGTATTGTAATGCCTTCTGCTGATCTTAAAATTATTTTCCTTGTTATGACATCACTCCTTATGGAATTCAAACATCTTAAATGTTATAGTTGCTTTTTATAAAAAGCATGCAACTTGTTTCATGGCTCGCTTCATTTAACACAGTGAACGAAATAAAATATTCCTAATCAATTAAAGAGAGAGAATGTGGTTTTGCATTAACATAGCAGAAGTTTACTTTCACTGATATTTATATATGCCAGGTGCCAAGGTGTAGTCATCTGGTTACATGAAGCATGCTTTCTCTGAGTGTTTTAGTTTGAAATATACTACAATATTAACTTTTTTAGTTAATATGTAACCTTCAATAGAGGCGCCTAGTAGTATGTCTGAAATAATTTTTTAAATTTATGTTTGGAAATACTAATAATACTAATTCAGCTATTGCTGAATAGCATAATGTTATGCAAATAGACTGTGTTTTGTATAAAATTATGTTTCTTACCCATTTTTGGTAAATTAGTCAAGAAAAATTGTTTAAATTCATTAGCTGAAATTTCCAAGCTTTGGAGTTTCTATTGAGCATGTAGTTCCTTAATTTTGCACCTAACAAAGTGGCCTGATTTGTCAAGGCGGCTGGTTATGTAGAGTCAGGAACAATTATGGGGACTCAGGAACACTGAAAAAATAGGCATTTATTTATGTTTTTAGCTTTAGCTGTGCAACTTCGAAACCACTGACCTAGTTTCTGAACATAGTTTTAAGGCAAAGGTGAAATAAACATTACATGCCTATGTATTCCTACTGTTCTGTTTGGGGAGACCAAGAAGAGTACCTTACGTATAAAACACTTTAGCCAAAAAAAAGAGAAGATTATATATATAAGCTCCTCTCCTTCATGTCTGTCAGGTTCCAGTTTTCTTAGTTTTTGGAAAAATATTCAAGGCGATTTATAAAACAATCAAGACTGATAAGTATTTATCTTTCTGTGTTTTACTTGGGTCTACTGAAGATTATAGGTATGTTGTTTCTCCATTTTAACCCTTCTTGCTTAATCTAATAGTGAAGTCATAATGTCATTAATGCCTGTTTCAATTGCTGTTAGTGTAATGATGAAAATACTTTGACTTCTGTACTAGATCAAGCAGAAGGAAAAATTGATTATTTAATCATGTTACAACATGGTTCATCTTTCTAACTACAAGCAATAAAGACTAGGGAACAGTACATGAAAATTGAGTAGCATCTTTCTCAGTTGGATGTGTTTACATTTGTATAGTGCTTTAAATCTTTAAGAACCATGGAAGTAAAGAATTACATTAGGAGTGACAGAGCTTTATGTAATCTTGAAGCCTCTTTTTTGGAGTTACTGAAAACATGTACTATTCATTAAAATCCCATCGTTTGAATATATAAGAATTTATATCTAGGAAAACTGTTAGTAAAAAGCTACTAAAATTTTCTAGGTGGAATAATATGGTGCCTACTATTGAAAGTGTCACTTTTCTGCCTTGTCATCCATTGTGTTATATAGAAGTACAGAAAAAAGTGAGCCTGATTTGTTCTCCTTTGTAGAGCCAGGCCGAGGCCCACTACAAAGGAAGTAAACATGCCAAGAAGGTCAAAGCACTAGAGGCAACGAAAAATAAACCCAAAGTTGGTTCTTCCAAGGACAGCGCAAAGGCTAACACAAGCTGCTCCACCACGCCAGTCACAGCCAACATCTCTGACAAATCAGGTCAATGAAAACTTTTTGTTCTATACATTCTTTATTTTCTCCCTTTTTTTAGTGTTTGTACAAGAGAATCTGGTTGCATGACAGTGATCCATGACTTGTGTTTTCTAAACTACTATGCTTTCTTGGTTTTGTTATTGTCAAAGTGCTTTTTCACATCTGTGAAACACCTGGTGTCCCTGAATGCTAAAGTTTATTTTTATTTAAACCTGTGAAATTTACTCTTATAAAGTATGAATGTCGTTCATACAACAATAATAATGGATGGATGGGGGGGGGCAGGGAGGGACAAGTCTGATGTGTATGTATTTAGCTGAAGCTCAAGAAACTTTTGTAAGAATTTTTTCTTTTTTGAGTAGGATAATACTGCTAAAACAGGAAAACACACCTTCATATATATAGTGAAGCCTCATGGCACAGATATTTCTTGACTTCCACAGCTTGTTAGTGCTTCAACATCACTTTTTTTTTTTTTTTTTTTTTTTTTCCATGTTGGTAATCTGAGGAGGATCAGTAACACTAATTGCAGTGGAGTTGCCTGAGTCTCTTTCTGCTCTGTCAGTGTTGTGTTACTGAATGAAACAGGAGAATTTCCTGAATGCACTGACAGTGAAATACTGTACTTGTTATCCAGGAGAAAGCACCAACTGTGGGTTACCCAACTGTTGGTCTAATACACTGCTTCTGAGAAGTTTGTTTCTGCCCTGGTAGCCATTTATTACTGTCTTCGCCAGAGCTGAGCTCCACTCAGATGCTGTAAGGTGAATGACACAGATGGTTTTCTGACATACACACAGCAAAAGAAAAGAAAAAAAAAATTATAATTTCCTATCAGTGTCTACTTGTCATCCTGCTCTCTTTACAGCAGCACCAAAACTGTCTTTGTCTGGGTCCTTAGCAATGACAGTGCATCCCAAATTTTGGGTAGATTCACCTAGCAAACCACATTTTAGGTTTGAGAGAGATAACATGAATCCAAGTAGCATCCTCAGGTAAACAAGCCATGTTATTATAAAACAGCAGCAAACTAATATTGATATTAATAAAATATGGACTATTGAATGGAAAAAGTTTTACAGTGTTTGATAAATTGATAAATATTTCACTCTTTGAAATACCAAAAATAGCTTTGGTAAAAATAGCTTACTGCTCCAGGTATACACTGTAAGAACTCAGATGACTGCTTAAGATATCAGTTAAAACTTTAGAGACTTTAACATGTTAAGAATGCATTCTGTGATAATGTAATTGTACAGTGCCCTCCCCTGCCTATGCCAAAGGCTGAGGGCCAAATAACAAAAGTTTCAGCATCTTTTACAAACTCCATCATCTCTTCCATAAGTCTGGATGGGTCTTATGTTTTCTTCACCAGACTATTAGATCTGTCCCTGACTTAATTTTCTTCTTCTCTGTGCAATGTGCCTAAAATCATTCACACCTTTACATTCAGTTTTTGATAAAATAATCTAACCAATTACAAGGGAAACCTGCTCTTGATACTTCTATATTGCCCTGTTTTGACACTGTGTTGTTTTATGTTATTAATTACTCCACACACATTAGACAGATTACCATCTGTGTCTGTTGGATTATACCACTGCAAGTGTTTCTACATTAAAAATAAATCACAGTGGAAATTTAGTTAACCACTTTCTTCCCATTAGGAGAACAGTGGGATTCTCTGTGGAGGGGATGCTCCTCAGAGCCTGTTAGTTCTCTACAGGAGATTGCAGATGGGATGTTTGGGAGGACAAAAACCTGAACCTGGAATGGCAAATGCTCCATGTACGCAGGGAGTGCTGGTCACAGAGGTGGGGAACAGCTTGGAGATTGGGGTTTTTACCAGGCTATGGACTTGAAACCAAGCCATAATTTTGTTCAGCTGTGCTTTCCGTTACAGAGGCTGTTGTTCATCTGTTCTTTAATATATGTTTAGCTCTTCAACATAATGCTTACTGCAGCTAGAACAGTCATTACGTTACTTCTGGGAATCAGTGGCAGGGATTTTTTGCTTTGGAGCAAATTAACTGACACCTTTTTTTCTGAATATTTTAACACAGCTTTCATTCTCTGAGAAATGGATTATTGCTATATATTAACTGGATAGATATATTTTAGTTTTCCTTAAAAGATTTCTAATACTAAGATTTTCAGTTTGTGTGTGTGTTTGTGGTCTTGGGTTTTTTAATCCTGATTTCCAGAGGAAATGAGACTTAAGGTCACATCATCTGTCCTTATCTCTGTTATTCTCTGGCCCTGTCTTCACAACTTCGTCACTATTGCCTAGTGTGAAAAATCATGGCATCTAGAGGTTTTAATGACGTTCCCATAAATTTGATGAAAGTTGGCACCTGGATAGAAGAGAAACCTTAAGGTCCATCCTGAGAGATGCGGCCATATGAGCTCTGTTTTGCTTGGCCTGCTGACTGGCCAAGCAGTATCTTTACCTTCAGGAGAGGGGATTTGAGAGTGTGTTTGTGTGATGTAGGTCTGAAAAAAAATGTGTCAGAAGGACATAAGGTAGGGTCTAAATTGAACCAAGGAAGGGAATTAAATTGCGGTGTTTGTGGAGCTACTTAACCATTGTACTTTGGAGAATTTCTAAATTCCTGAGTAATTTTCATCAAGAAATAAGTCATTCCTCGTGTCCTTTCGAGTATGGAAAAGGAGAATGGGAAGTTAAACAGAGAAGACAGTTTTAAGTTCTTGTGTTCATTTGTTATCTGCTGTACTTCCCCTGGTATTAGTGCAGAATGGGTAAGGAGTATTATAGTAAGCTGATAAACTGAATTTACTATTCTTTTATGTAGGTCTGCTGACAAAAGGACACAACAGACATGTCTAGCAGCCGTTTTGATGCACTGTCATTTTGAGTGACATAATGATGAATGATTTGGAGCTCTCCAGACTGAACAGTTGCTATATATTAAACTAAAACGTCAAGTTAAGTTTTCTAGAGAGCCATGTCTTCTGTGGGTCAGACAGCATGAGATCCAAAACACTTATTTGTCAGAAGTCACTATTGTAGTTGTAACAGGAAAAATGTGTTCACTGTTAGCTCATCTTGTGTGATGAATCTATCAAAGGCAAAATCCAAATTTATCCAGTCCTTATTTTTCAAAACTTATGATGCAGTGGTCTTTCCATAGCTGTTCCTTTCAACTTGAGAAGTGTGGATGCTGGTAGAGCTACAAAAGTTAAATTAATGTAAAGTCTTTTGGGAAGTTTCCAGGAGAATGTGGGCTCCTGCATAGAAAAGTGATCTCAACTGAATGGAAAGGGGTGACTCTGGAACTCATTCTGAGCATGATGATGCCCAAGTTCTGAGAGAGTGGTCTTCCCTGCTGATGTTAATAATACATCATGATTCAGAAATTATTTTGGTAAATTGATCATCAGCAGCACGTAACGATAAAGCCATAATACTTTAATGCTGAGTTGGCTGCAACCTCAGGTAAGTGGTTATTGATGGGTTGGATTGCACAAGTTTTACATCCTAACATGATTAGACTACTGTGTGATCTTATTTTCTAAGCACACAACTCTCCACCATTTAGAAAATACTTGTTTACTGGTACTTGTAAGTACCACCATCCTATCCTGTTCACTATGTCTGCAGATGGGAAGAAAATGCCACAAATGATGTGTGACAAGGCTGTTGTTCCCCTACCTCTTGTTGGGTCGTGTCTCCTTGTCCTGATGGGTATTTGCAGATTGGAAGTGTCCATAGCAGACCGTTTCATAACCTGTCTCCCACATGGTTTCTCTAAGCACCCAGGAAAAGACTACTAATGGCTCTGGAACAGTTTCATATGCTAAAAAATCACTACTGTGACACTGCGAGCTTTTTTGTAGCTGCTTTGAGACATGGTTACAGAACAGCAGTGTTAACAGGACTGGGAGCTGCTCTTTCATGTGAGGCTGTGGTGAGCTGACCCTGAATAGACGGCAGGTGCCCACCAAAGCTGCTCTATCACTTCCCTACTCGGCTGGACAGGGGAGAGAAAATATAACAAAAGGCTCATGTGTCAAGATAAGGACAGGGAGAGATCACTCCCCAGTTACCCTCACGAGCAAAACAGACTCGGCTTGGGGAAAAAGTAATTTAGTTTATTACCAATCAGAGTAGGATAATAAGGAATAAACCCAAATCTTAAAACACCTTCCCCCCACACCTCCCTTCTTCCCAGGCTTAACTTTACTCCTGATTACCTCCTCCTCCCCAGCAGTGCAGAAGGAGAGGGAGTGGGGGTTGCAGTCAGTTCATCACACATTGCCTCTGCTGTTTCTTCCTCCTCAAGAGAAGGATTCCTCACACTCTTCCCCTGCTCCAGTGTGGGGTCCCCCCCATGGGTGACAGTCCTACATGAACTGCTCCAACATGGGTCCTTCCCACAGGGTGCAGCTCTTCACGAACTGCTCCAGCGTGGGTCCCTCCCACGGGGTGCAGTCCTTCAGGAACAGACTGTTCCAGCGTGGGTTCCCCATGGGGTCACAAGTCCTGCCAGCAAACCTGCTCCAGCGTGGGCTCTACTCTCCATGGGACCACATATCCTGTCAGGAGTCTGCTCCAGCACAAGTTTCCCATGGGGTCACAGCTTCCTTCAAGCATCCACCTGCTCTGGTGTGGGGTCCTCCACAGGCTGCAGGTGGAGATCTGCTCCACCATGGGCTGCAGGGGCACAGCCTGCCTCACCATGGTCTTCACCAGGGGCTGCAGGGGAATCTCTGCTCTGGTGCCTGGAGCACCTCCTCCCCCTCCTTCTTCACTGACCTTGGTGTCTGCAGGGTTGTTTTTCTCACATACTCTTATTCTTCTCTATGGCTGAAGTTGCTGTTCAGCTTTTTTTTTTTTTTCCCCTTCTTAAATATCTTATCCCAGAGGCACTACCACCGTCACTGGTGGGCTCAGCCTTGGCCACTGGCGAGTTTGTCTTGGACCCGGCTGGTGTTGGCTCCATTGGACATGGGGGAAGCTTCCAGCAGCTTCTCACAGAAACCAC